GGGGGGGGGGAGGGTAGCGGGTGGCCAGTGACTGGTTGGCGAGATGTCGTGTGGCGGGTGGCGGGTGGCGGGTGGTCGACCTTTGGTCGTGCGGCGGGTGGCGGTCACCCCACTCCCTCTCCCCTCGCCTCCCCTCCCCTCCGCAGCCCCTGTACCATGGAGAACCAGCCCAGAGACTACGCGTGCTTCCTGCCGCCCCGACTGGATGCGCTGGTGGATGCCTGGCTTGACGAGGATGTACGTGGCTGTGAGGGCGTGTGATGGGGATGAGGTGGTGTGGTCTGGCGTGGAAGCTATGTTCCATGACCGGCCCCTTGGGGAGGAGGGTGGCAGGGGGAAAAGGGTCTCACGGGCGTGGCGGGCATGGCGGGGCGTGATGGGCGTGATGGACATGATGGGCGCGGTGGACGCGACGGGCGTGGCGGGCGTGGCGTGGTGCGGCAGATCCCATCCACCGACTACGGCGGCTTCGTGGTGGGCTCGCGGCCGGCGGTGGCGCACCTGCTGGTCAAGTCAGCGGGCGTGCTGGCGGGCGTGCCATTTGCTGACGCCGTACTGGCGCGGCTGGGGTGCTCGGCCGAGTGGGCGTACGCCGATGGCGCCATGTTTGATGGTGAGGGCAAGGTGGTGGTCGCGGTTGTCACCGGGCCGACCCATCGGGTGCTGCAGGCCGAGCGGACGGTGCTCAACGTGCTGGCGCGGTGCTCCGGCATCGCCACTGCGGCGCGGGCTTTTGCCGACAAGGCCGCCGCTGCCGGCTTTGGCGGCACCGTCGCCGGGACTCGCAAGACCACGCCGGGCTTCCGCGATGTCGAAAAGTACGGCATGCTCGTCGGCGGCGTTGACACCCACCGGACTGATCTCTCGTCGATGGTCATGCTCAAGGACAACCACATCTGGGCTACCGGCTCCATCACCGCCGCCGTCGAGACCTGCCGCAGCGTGGCTGGCTTCTCAGTCAAGATCGAAGTCGAGACCTCGAGCTACGACGACGCTGCCGAGGCCATCAACGCCGGCGCAGACGTCATCATGCTCGATAACTTTGAGCCGACAGAGCTCAAGGCTGTCGCTGCAAGACTCAAGGCCGACTTTGCCGGCTCGGCCCAAAAGTTCCTCCTTGAGGCCTCGGGCGGCGTCCGCCTCGACACCGTGGACGGCTATTTTTGCGACGCCATCGACATCATCTCCACCTCGTCGCTGCACCAGGGCGTCGGCGTTGTCGACTTTTCGCTCAAGATCCAGCCGGGCGCTGCCGAGCAGGAGTAGTGCCCCATGCAGTGACCCGCCGTCAAGCCCTCGAGCCCAAGCTTTATCCGAATAATAGACGATGGTACAACCCCTTCCCCCCCCCCCCACTCCAGCACACCCACATGTTCCGACTCCCTGCCCTCGCACCCGCTGTCGCCCGTGCTGCGCTGCGGGCTGTTGCCGCGCCCGGCGCTGCGGGCGCCCGTACTGCTGCGCTCTCGACGGGCGTGCCCCCCGCGGCCGGGGTGGGCTACCCCGGCGCGGAGGAGGCGTCGTTCACCACCGAGTTTGAGTTTGTGGACCCGGAGACGGCGTTCCCCATGTTCCAGCTCATGGGCCCCGACGGCAAGTTTGCGGTGGCCGACGACCAGCGGCCGGCCATTGCCGAGGACAAGGAGCTGCTGCTCAAGATGTACAAGGTGATGAACACGACGCAGATCATGGACACGTTCATGGCCAAGAAGCAGCGCCAGGGTGCGGTCTCGTTCATCATGACCTCGTATGGCGAGGAAGCGACCCACGTCGGCTCGGCCGCCGCCCTCACCGGCGACGACGTCGTCTACGCTCAGTACCGCGAGTCGGGCGTCCTTCTCTGGCGCGGTTTCTCGCTCGACGAGACTATGGCGCAGTGCTTCTCCACCCAGGCTGACGGCGGCAAGGGCCGCCAGATGCCGGTCCACTACGGCTCCAAGGCGCTCAACTTCCAGACCATCTCCTCGCCGCTCGCCACCCAGATTCCGCAGGCCGCCGGCGCCGCCTACGCGCTCAAGCGCTCCGGCAAGGACGCTGTGGCCATGACGTACTTTGGCGACGGCGCCGCGTCTGAGGGCGACTTCCACGCCGCGCTCAACTTTGCCGCCACCCTCGAGTGCCCCGCCCTTTTCTTCTGCCGCAACAACGGGTACGCCATCTCCACCCCGACCAAGGAGCAGTACCGCGGCGACGGTATCGCGTCGCGCGGCCCGGGCTACGGCATCCCCACCATCCGGGTCGACGGCAACGACGTGTTTGCCGTCTACGAGGCTGTTGCCCGCGCCCGCACCCTTGCCATTGAGGAGTCGCGCCCAGTCCTCATCGAGGCCATGTCGTTCCGCATCGGCGACCACTCGTCGTCCGACGACTCGTCGCGCTACCGGCCCGACGGCGAGCGCGACAAGTGGGCCCAGGTTGCGCCCATCCCGCGCCTCCGCTCGTACATTGTCGAGCGCGGCTGGTGGTCCGACGACGAGGACAAGGAACTGCAGGACTCGCTCTTTGCAGACCTCATGACCGCCATGCGCAAGGCTCTCGCCGACAAGAAGCCCTCGCTCGACGAGGTCTTCACCGACGTCTACGACGAGCTCACTCCCGACCTCGTCGCGCAGGAGGCCGAGCTCCGCGTCCATCTTGCCAAGCACGGCGACAAGTACGACCTCGGTGTCTTTGCTCCGTCGACCAAGGCGTAAGTTAGCACTGGCAAGAAAACAACGAGTAAATAGCCCGAGCTTTGTGTGTGCCAGGTTACACGGAGTCTTTACTCTCAAACGCCTACTCCTCAAACGAAAGCACATCCTCAGTCGTGATCGAGGTATTGTCGACCGACGACGCGTTGGAGATGAACGACATGTCGTCGATGGCCGAGAGGCCCGAGAGCCGGCGCGAGTTGTTGAGCGCCGCCGACTTTGCGGCAAACGAGGCAAAGGCCGGCGAGGCTGGCGAGGCGTTCTCGTCAGCGACCGGATGGACACCAGAAGCTGAGAGGATGGGCGAGGCGAGGAGCGAGGCGTCGCCCCCGGCAGCGCTCGGCTTGTCGGCGGCATCGTCGTCTTCGGCGGCGTCGTCGTCCTCGAGCAGCGCGAGCGACTGGTCCTTGAGAACCTGGAAGTCGGTCGCCTGCTGCAGCATCCTGATCTCAAAGTTCTTGTTCTCGATCTGGCGCTCCAGCTCCTGCATTTGCTCCGACATGGTGAGCATCGAGTTGAGCTGGGTGGTGAGCTCTGCGTTCTTGGCGACAAGCGCATCGTGAATCTGCTGCTGCTCGGGGTCAAAGGTGAGGTTGAACGAGGTCTCATTGAGCGGTTCCTTGCCCTCCTCGGCGCGGTACGAGTTAAGCTGGACACGGTACGAGGCGGTGACCCGCTTGAGGTCGTCAAGCTCGTCGGTGAGCGACGCGAGCTGCTGCTTGAGCGCGTTGTTCTCTTCCTTGATCTTGACGTGGTGCTGGATCTTCTGCTTGTGGTTGTGGTGGCCAGTGAGCTTGGTCACCTCGTCGTTGAGGGTGGCGATTTGGCCCGCAGCTTCGGAAATCTCCTTGGACATGCGGATCTTCTCCTCGGACAGGTGCTCGATCTGGGCCTTGTACTCGATGGCCTCGCGGAACGAGTCCTCCTCGAGATCCTTGAGGCGACGGAGATCAGCAAAGAGGCGCTCGCCGTCGGCAATGGCCTTCTTGAGGTTTTTCTTGAGATCCTTGATTAGCGAAGCGTCGCGCGCGGCCTGGACTTCAGCGCGGGCAACGTCCTCGCGCGCCGTCGTGAGCTGTTGCGTGAGCTTGGCCACCCGCTCTTCTGCCAGCGTCAGCGCGGCGTCCGACTCGTCCTGCGCAATGGCAAGCGCATCTTCAAGTGCGTTGCGCGCAGCTTCAGCGTCGGCCACGTCGTCGCGAAGATCCTCCACGAGCTCGGGAAGCTCTGCAAGCTCTGCAAGCTTGGCCTCCAGCGAGGCAATGGTCTCGTTCTTGGCTACCCGTGTCGACTCAAACTGCTGCTGCAGCTCGCAGTACTCGTCGCGGATGTTGGCCAGGTTGGCGGTAGTAGCCTTGACAGACTCGAGCTCAGCGGAGGTGGTGGCGAGCTCGCCGCGGGCCTCGTGCAGCTCGGCGGTGAGCGCCTCGTTGAGCGACGACTGTGAGGTGAGCTGGGCGTTGAGCAGGTCGATGGCGGCTGCGTGCGACGAGCGCGCAGCAGCCAGCTCCTCGGAGGCCATGGCCGCAGCCTCTTCGCCAGTCTCGAGGGAGGCGACCGTGTTGGCCAGCCGCTCCTCAGCTTCGAGCGCACGCTTGAGCGCAGCCTGGGTGGCAGCGGCGGCGTCGGAAGCAGTAGACTCGGCGGTTGTGAGCTTGTCCTCGAGCTCGGCAACAGTCTCGAGGACGGCAGTCTCGCGAGCAAGAGCAGCCTCGAGCGAAGCCTCGAGCGTGGCAACGGCGTCGGCGGCTGACTCGGCCTGATCGCGGTACTGCTCGGCAGTTTCTTGGAGCGCGGCCTGGAGTGCCATGGCCGACGACGCGGCTTCGGCGGCGGCAGACTTCTCGGCCTTGAGAGACGCCGAGAGGCTCTTGATCTCTTCCATGAGCTCGTCGACGGTGGCCTCGTGCTGGGCCTCGGTGGCGGCGGCGGCGGCGGCGGCGGCGGTCGAGGCAGCAGTAAGCTCGTCGACGGTAGCCTCGAGCTTGGCGTTGGCATCCTGGAACATGTCAAGAGTAAGACGAGTCTCCTCAGCATGGGCCTTGAGCTCGGAAATCTGCGAGGTCGACGCTGCAGCGCTTGCGCGGAGCTCGCTCACGTTGGTTCGGAGGAGCTCAACCTGGTTCAGCGAGGCCTCGTGCTCGGTGAAGAGAGACTCGTACGCAGCCTCCTTGTGCTCCAGCTCAACGCAGTAGTTCTCCACCTGAACGCGAAGAGCGGCGGCAGCCTTGGCCTCGGCATCGCGCTGGGCAACAACCTCGTCGAGCTGGGCCTTGATGGCGGCACCGGCGTCCGAGTCCTTGGCAGCGAGCTGCGAGCGGAGCTCGTCAATGGAGGCATTGGCGGCGGCAAGAGCCTTGGTAGCGGTGGCGGCTTCGGCGGTGAGCTCTGCAATGCGGGCCTCGCCCTTGGTGACCGCAGCCTGGGCAGCATGCTGCATGTCCTGCACAAACTCGAGCTCCTCCTCGGCAGTCTCCAGCTTGTCGCTGGCCTCGGCGAGGGCCGAGTTGACAGACTCGAGCTGCCGCTCAGCGGTAGCACGGGCCGACTCGGCCGAGAGCGCGGCAGCCTGGGCGGTAGCTTCGGCGTCCTTGAGGGCGGTGGCCGAGGCGGCAGCAGCCTCAAGTTCGGCCTGCAGGCTCTGAATGCGTTCGGCGTAGAGCTCGGCCGAGGTCGTAGCCTCAAGCTCGCGCTGCGAGGCGGCCGAGAGCTTGGACTCGAGCTCGGCAACCTTGTTCTTAAGAACGGCCGCCTCCTCGCCGTCGACCGAGAGCTTGCGGTTGAGCGAGAGCGAGAGCCGCTGGTTTTTGGACGAAGCAATGGCATGGGCCTTGGTCAGCTCGCGGTTCGTGGCCTCAAGAGCAGCAACCTTAGCCTCGAGCTCGGCGTTGGCGGAGAGAAGATCGTTGAGCGAGTCGGCGTCGGGCGACTCGGCCAGCTGGGCCTGAAGAGACTGGAGCTGAAGCTTGTGGGCGGTAGCAGCCGACGCAAGCGAGGTCTCCATCTCAGCCACGGTCGCCTTTTCGGCGGCAAGCGCAGCCTCAAGCTCGGAGATGCGCTCGGCAGCCGAGGCCTTGCCCTCCTCGGCGGCATTGGTGGCGTTTGCGAGCTGGGCCTTGAGCTCGGAGATCTGGTCCTCAAAGGCCATAGAGAGCTTCCACTGCTCGAGGGCGAGGTTGGCGGAGGGCTTGGGCGAGGCGACGGCAGTCGGATCGACAAACGGCGAGCCAGGAGCGGCACGGCGCGACGGCGAGGCACCGGGAGCGGCGCGGACGGTGTCCTCGAGGTCGGAAATCTTCTTGGTCAGCGCCTCCTTCTCAAGGATGAGGCGCTCCATCTGAAAGTCGAGGCCCTGGATGTACTGGTGGAGCTTGACCAGGTTTGTCTGGTTGGCGGCATAGTCGTCGCCCCACTTGTCCTGGTACTCGGTGAGCAGGTCGCGGAGGTCGAGGTTCTCGATGGCAATCTGAGTGAGCTTGGGGTTGTGGTCGACGAGCTTGCGGACAGCGTCGAGCTCTGCGGCGAGAGCATGAATGCGCTCATCGTCCGAGCACTGAGATGCATCTGCAGCGCCGGCACGTGAGATTGCGTCGTCGCGGAGCTTGACAATGAGCTTGGTAGCCTGGATGGTGAGCGACTGCTTGGAAATGAGCAGATTGAGAGCATTGAGGCGCTGCTTGAACCGCTTGGCGTCGTCCATGAGCTTGCGCTTGTCCTGGATGTGCTGGGCAACAACAAGCTGCAGGTGCATGAGCTGCTGCTCGGCGGTGGCATCCTGCGGAGCGTTGAGGTCGAGCTCGTCGACAGAGCCGAGTGCAAGCAGCCCCGCACCCGAGCCAGACTTGTACGCCTCAAGCTGGGTCTTGAGCGAGCGGATCTGGTCCTGGAGGGCGGCGACGTTGCCGTCCATGTCCTCGTTGATGACAACCTTGTTCGTGATCATCTTGGCACGCTGCGCAAACTTGAGGGTCGAGAGCGTCTCGCCAAATGAGCTGTCAGCAGGCGAGACATTGGCAATAATGGCGGTCTTGGTGTTGCCGCCGAGCGAGTCCTTGAGGAGGAAGGTGAGCTTGGAGTCACGGTACGCGATGTGGCGCGTCTTGCCCTTCTGGATGTCGACGAGCGCCATGATGACGTTGCCGAGCGCCGAGAGCGACTTGTTGATGTTGGAAGCTTCCTTGAGACGGGCGTCGGCGGCGTTGGTCAGCTTCTGGCGCTCCGAACCGGCGAGGTCAACAAGGTTGAGCTGTGACTTGCGGATCTGGAGCACACCGTCGACCGACTCCTTCGACTGGATGACAAGGGTGAAGACCGAGTGCGAGCGCGACGACTCGCGGTTCATCTCGGTCGCACCCACCGTTCGGTTGAGAGCGCCTTCGTCGAGGACCTCGAGCGCATCGGCTGGCGAAGCGATGACCCGCTCCATGAGCGACTCGACGAACGGACCCTTCTTGATGTCCTCGCGAAGGTTGAGGCCGGCCGAGGCTGGCGCCGAGTCGAGAAGGTCAAAGATGCGCTCATTGTAGATCTCGAGGTACGAGGCCTTGCAGAGGAACTCGCGGGCTCCGCCGGTCCGCTTCTCCTCGCGGGCGATGAGGGCAAAGATGTGCTCAAACATGCGCGGGATGAGGCCGCGGGCCGACGGCGGGGCAGTGGCCACCTCGGTTGCTGACGGACCCTGCATGGTGTACGTCTTTCCGGAGCCAGTCTGGCCGTACGCAAAGATGGTTCCGTTGTAGCCCTCGAGGCACGACTCGCAGATGTCCTTGCCCAGCCGCATGAACACTGCATCCTGCGTCGTCTCCTCGTCGGCCACGTAGTCAAAAGTGAATGACTTGCGGTCTGGCCGCTCGAGCACCAGCGAGTTACTCGACGGGTCAACGCTCACGCACTTGCGATACCCGCCCTTGAGCTCGCGATCCACCGGCGGACGGACTCTGACGCACACACGGATGTTGTCGTCTGCGGTCGGAAGGTTCGGCGTTTTGGCGCGCAAAATGACGGGCGCGGGGGCAGGTCGTGAGTTCGGCCGCAGCGGGCGGTAGGGGATGTAGGGAAGGGCGTGGAAGGAGCGGGGGGGCGCGGTACATGAAGGGAAGGCTTTCAGCAACAGGAGCGTACCCATTGTGGTTGGCGTCGGTGATGTGGAGTGTGCGAGGATGCTGCGCAGGGCCGGGGTCGGGACCAGGCAAGCGGGGTTGTTGCCGAGCCGATCGATGCGGACTGACGGCTGCTGACCTGGCGCGTTTAACTTTCGTCTTTCTTGGATTTGCGCCAGATCCTGACCGGATCTGTCCTGCCGCTCCGCCTCAGCCAGACTGCGGTGCGGCAAGATTACATTGCAGTAGAGCAGCATCACGTAGACGAGACATGCATGGTTTGCTGCGCCGGGAAACGGCGGTGGAAGTGGTATCAAGATCGGGAACATGCGAAGCGATGGTGTACGCCTTGTTGCTTACGGCGCTAACCAGCTAACGCTGCCAAACTGTGTTTGCTTGGAGGAAAGAGATTGTGGACCAAGATCTGGCGTTTGCCCAAAGCGAGCATGACGATATGAGATGGCAGGCGACAATATGGCGCTTGGCTCGGTCGAGACCAGCGCCGCGAAACACGTTATTCGGCGATATCTCAAGAGTTGGAGCAGCCACGAGCACATCTGTCATTGTAATAGTCGGGGAACATAGCAAGCCACCCGTTGACATGCAAAACAGGGGTGAAGCAACTGTATCGAGGGCGCTAAAGGTGATCACAAGACGATGGCGGGGGGGGGGGGGGGCTGCTTCTGTATTGCAATACCAACTATAAGCATATATTATCTCGACAAATAAATATATACTTATATAGACTACACGTAAAATTTTAAAATACAACAGCTGTAACTACAAAACATATATCAAAATGATATTTTTTAGCCGTTTTGGTTTGATTTTTGCTGTTTATGAGCGTTTGCGGATGTGCGGGCCTGGCTCTGATCGCAGTGACCGTCACGGTGACGGTCACTGCCATCAGATGCAGGCCCGCACATCCGCACGCGCCCGGTGCGTCCGCCAGACTCGGGGCCAGCTTGCTGCCGACTTGACGCGCGCCGATGCGAGCCGCCTCCTCCAAAGCCGATTCCTTCCTGTATGAACACCCTCCTCTGCTAGTGAATACACTGCCAGTGTGTACAAGTTGTATGAATGCTTGTGCGGTTTAATGGAGGAAAAATAAAAATCGCGGTTGTGGCCAGTGGCCCCACTCGGCTGCTCTGCCGGACTGCCGCTGTCAAGCGACAACGGCACCGTGTCGCAAGCCTGTCACAGGCACTGTGTCGCACACTCGGTGTGCCACACAACGGAATGGAATGTCACAGTCTTGGTCATCATCACTTCTTGGAAATAAAGTCGACGTTAGAGCAGGCTGCGATTGAGGTGACCAGCTCAGACATGGAAGGGCGTGAGGCAGCGTCGTCAACCCAGCATGAGGAAATGATGCCGCGAACGCGGTCCGAGGGGACGGCGGTGGCGTTGACGGGCGGGCGGAAGCCGGACGAGATGCGGTAACCAACCTCGAGGGCGTTAGAGCCCGAAAAAGCGGCCGAACCAGAGATGAGCTCATAGAGGAGCGTGCCGATGACAAAGACGTCACCGGCAACGTTGTTGACGTCGCCGCGGAGCGACTCGGGCGACATGTATGCGACCGAAGGAACCATGGTCATGGTGCCCATGTTGGCCTTGATGCCATCCATGCCAAAGTCAATGATGCGAGCGGCGGTGATGGTCGTCCCGGCAGCCTCGAGCACGACGTTGCCCGGTCGGAGCGAGCCGTGCGCCTGCTGCGTTGCCACGTGCAGCCGCGCGAGCGCTGCAGTCAGGTCTCCCATGACCACACGCATGGCGGCGGCGTTGAGGACCAGCGGGGACGAGCCTGACATGGCGTCGAGGAGCGTACCCGCGTCGTAGCGCGGGACAAGGACCGAGAGAACTGGCTTGTCGAGGCAGACGCCAACGGGGCCGACGACCCCTCGCACGTCGCTTGCATCGCCCGCACCGCCAGCTCCGCCAGCTGGACCACGTCCATCGCGTTCAGCTCCTGCCGAAGCAGCGTCTTGACGACCAGCTGCTTCGACGAGGTTGTGTCTGCCTCGTGGGCTGTAGCAAACGAGCCCATCCAGCTCCGCCCGCTCTGTTTCACGAGCGCCACCACGTCTTCTCGCGAGAAGAGCCAGTCATCGGCCTGTTCGATATCTGGGCCACTGGCGCTCATCTCGCTAGTGGCGACTCCGGCAACGGGGCTTCCGGCTGCACGCGCGAGCACGTCGACGACCGTCGGTGCGCCGATAGGCACGACCTGGAAAACCTCGATAGCCCCGCCGCCGAGCTTCCACGGAAGCGGCTGTGCGTGGCACTTTCCACCGACCTGAAGCTCAGTCACGACCGAGCGCGAGGTAACAAACAAGCCGCTCGGCACTGTCTTCTCCCACATGCTCGCCTTGGGCGGGCACGACGGCTTGGGAGTCGTGCTAACGCCAAGTCCGCTCGTTCCACCGATCTCGTTGTCGCCAAGGAATGCATCGTTCTCGATGCCAAACAGCTCGGTCCACGCCTGCTTGAGCTCGATCATGACTGGTCCGGCGAGCTCGCGCGAGTCGTACGTTGGTGACTCGACAATCTCAACATCACCCCGCGCGGCCACCATGGCCACACCAGTGCCCGGCGGAATAAGAAGCTCCGTCAGCCGCTGCTCGAGCGAAACAAGCTGATGCGGCCGGTGGACCGCGAGCGTGACCCAGCCCAGGCCCCACGCAAGGACAGAGACGCCAAGCTCAGTCGCAAACTCGGGCACCATGGTGTGGAACGTCCGCAGTGCGCCGGCAGCGACTTCGAGGTCGGCACGGAGAAGCTTCCGCGCACCACGGAGGCAGCAGTGGACGGCGAGGATCTCGCCTGACGGGTCTTCGGCCGTCGTCGGGTACACCACGCGCGCCGGCGAGTACAGGCCGGCAAGCGCAGCTTCGGCCGCGTCAAGCGTCATCCGCCGGTCCACGTTCTCGCCCCAGAGCGCAACAAAGATCGGCTGCAGCGGCGAAAAGGCAGCCGGGACAATGTCGGTCGACGGCCGGCGGCCGTTGACAATCTCCAGCGCCACCGCGAGCGCATTCTCGCCCGGATACAGGTCCGCACGCGTCGCGAGCTCCCATAGCGTGATTCCGAGCGAGAACGCGTCCGACGCCGGGGTCATGGCATCCGAGCCGTTGACAAGAACCTCGGGCGCCGACCAGAAGACCGTGCCCACATTGACCGGTGCGCCGTCGTCGACCATTGTGGCCGTCATCGACGACGAGAACGACAGGTCCGAAAGCCCGGTGCTGGAGCCAAACTTGGTCGACGCCGAAGGCAGCGATGGCAGCGACGGGTCCTTCACAAGGCCAGCCTTGTCAGCCGGCCCGACCTTGGACTTGCCCTTGCGGCGCTTCCGCTTGGAGCGGTCGTCGGCGGCCGACAGCGCAGCGTCGCCCTTGACCGACGACATGCCAAAGTCACAGATCTTGGGTACCCACGACGAGTCAAAGAGCACGTTGAGCGACTTAAAGTCGCCGTGCACCACGCCAGCGTGCGAGAGGTAGACCAGGCCCTGCGTGATGTTGTGCGACCACTTGAAGACAATCGAAGGGTCGAGGAAGAGGTTCGGGGAGTGAAGCACGTCGTACATCGAGCCGCGGTCCATAAACTCGGTGACGAGCTGCGGCGGCTCGAGGGTAATGCCCATGAAGATGACCACGTTGGAGTGCCGCAGCCGGAGCAGCATGCTTGCCTCGTCCACAAACTCGCGGAGCTGGGCAGGTGTCATGTTCTTGGTCCGCGTCCGCTTGACCGCTACCGCCGTCGCCCGCCACTTGCCGGCGTACACCGTGCCATACGAGCCGGCTCCCACCGCTTTGCCCAGCGTGAGCTCCTCGGGAGCAATGACAAGGTCCGAGTCTGAGCTCAACTTGTACGTCACCGCCTTGCGCCGGTAGAAGATGTATCCTGCAATGATGGTCGAGAGCAAAACGCACGCGAGGACAGGGAGCAGAATGGCGAGGAGGAGGCCAAGCCCCGAGTCTGGCGGAGGCACAGGCAGGGTGAGCGCGTACGACGCTGCAGTCACATCGGAGAGCTTGAGATCGCCAGCCTTGGCCGCCGCTCGCAACGTGATCGTGCCCGACGATGACAGCCGGACAGGGCCTGCGTAGATGGTCGAGGTGAGCGACGGAGCAGAGCCGTCGATGGTGTAGTAGATGACGGCGCCAGGCGTGAGCGAGGTCAGCGTCACTTCAACAGGCTCGGAGAACGAGCCCGAAGGGGGCTGAGCCTCGGGTGACGCCGTCTGCTTCAGCACTGCCGAGAGTCGGACAGCCTCCAGCTGCGGCGCTGCGGCGTCAAAGACTGCAAACGCCTCCGAGGCCGTTGGCATGCTAAGCAGCGTAAATGTCAGGTTCTGCCACTGCGAGAGAACCTCTACAAAGCCAAAGCCACCAAGGCTAGACCGTTCGAACGCGCGATCGGCCTTGACCAGCTCTTCATATGTCAGCCGCGTCCGATTCGACTTCAGCAGGTCCCGCAGCGAGCGCCGCGGCGTGTAAATGCCCGGCTTGTTGTTCATCACCACCCGCGCCTGGTTCGTGGTGTTGGCCATGTAGTCGACAAACTTGAGCGCGCGCTCATGAAAGGCCGAGTTGATGGGGACGCCGAATGCAATGATCGCCGTCAGCGCTCCGTTGTTGCCAGGCCCGTTCTCGACAGTCATCCCCGACCCGTGGTAGTCCGGGAACTTGAAGGCCAGAATGTCTTCAGCGGGCGCGCCCAACGGGACAGCGCCAGCAGCAATCGAGTCAAAGCCGCACCACAACGTCACATCGCCCGACGCAAAGTGTGGGAGCCAGTCGAGGGCAAACCGCCCGGGCTGATCGAGCTTGGGCTTGCGCGACCAGAAGCCGCGGTCGATGAGCGGGAGAAGCTGCGCCCACGTTGCCCGGATCCGAGGGTCCGTGAACGACACGTTGGCGAGGAGGAACTGCGAGTAAAAGTCGTTGCCGTGCATGCGAATGGCGAGGTTGTCAAAGTACTGCGTCGGCGCCATCCACTCCAGATCGTGCCCGAGACAGCCCTCGCCGTTGGCAGTCAGCACGGCGCACACCTCCAGGAGCTCCGCCCACGTCTTTGGCGGCGAGAGATTGTACTTGTCAAAAATGTGTCCGCGGTACACGCAAATGTTACCCGTCGCCATCGCGGGAATCGCGTACGGTTTGCCGTCGTCGCCTAGCACAAAGTCGGCTGCAGCCTCAATGATATCGCCGTCGTATCCGTAACGCTCCCAAATTTCCGAGAGGTCGAGGTAGTGTCCGCTGTTGATAAAGTCCTTGGAGCCGGCGCCAAGGTAGATCTGCAGCACGTCCGGCGCTCCGATCGTCCGCAGCCAATACTCGTAGACGGCGCGGTCGTCAATCTCGTTGAGATTCGTTCGCATCACAGACACGACTTCCGTCCCATTCGACTCGGCCGTGTACGTGTCCGCAAACTCGCGCATCGCCACGGTCAGCTGCGAACCCGCCGAAATGAACTGGAAGAACCGAAGCGACGGTTGGGCGCCGTAGCTGTCGATAGGGATGATTCGCCGTTGCGTCACTGCCACAGCCGAAAGGGTCAACCATCCTAGCACGAGCGCAAGGCAAATAGTCGTGGAACTCCACCGCATTTGCTACTCTGCCTGCCGTTGGGAAGGGGGTGTCAACACTTCCGGGCATGGTGTTTGAGTAAGAGTTCCGCGGGTGGTCCCCCCAACACCCAAAAAATAACAAACGCATCCGTCGACCACGTTTTCACAACATTGCTCAACCACAAACGCCCCAACCCCCCGCCCGCCCTGCACATTCTCTCCGCCCAACAACTTCCTCGCACCTTGCTAGCCACAAGACAAGGTGTGTTTTGCTACGTGTGAAGGAAGGGGGAGTGAGGTCTGAGATAGAAAGTCTGTTTGAGTTCCGTTGGTGGTGGTGGAGTCTGGCGCCCCCTCGCCCTCGCCCTCCCAATAACCGATTTTTTTTCAACCGGCATCCGCCAGCGGCGCCTCGAATCACGTGTGTCATGTCTCGCACCAAACGGCATCATGCTTTCCATTAAGAGGCCTCAGTCGCGAGCCTGAAGCACATATCGCAGCGTTTGCTCCTCGTGAGCGAGTTCGCCGGTGAGGACGTTGTCGTACTCAAGCGTAACGGATGCAAACGGAACGCCGGCATCGGCCCACGGCGCTGGCTTGTCGCCGTCTGCTTTGAGTTCCACTCTCGGGTCCACTGCAAACCGCAGTTGAGAAGCCACCACATGAGAGCCTGCCAAGACCTCGCGCGCCGCAGCACTTGCCATGCTTCGGCTCGGGACCGTGATCGGAGAGGACGCGTTCGGGTGTGCGTCGGCGCTTAGGATGAGCGCACCGCCGCGGGTATGGACTGCGAGCCGCATGTTACGCGCTACCACTCGCCGCGTGTGCGATGGCTCGCTGCGTCCGCTGCTGTTGTCAGGCACAGCGTCCGGCAGACGGCCCACTACTTGGATCTCGACAATGAGGCCCGCCACTACCGCCGCCTCACCCGACTTGAGCTTGAGCCGGACTCGCTCCGCGGCCGGCATCAAGCGGGCGACGAGCTGGAGTGCTGCGCGCTCGGTGCGCCACTGGGCAGCCTTGGCCTGCACGCTCCGCACGCCGTGCACGACGGCGGCAAGAGTAAGCTGGGCGACCACCACAGCTGCGCCCATTGCGCTCGCAATTTGGCCCGTCTCTCCTGCCCACTCACTCGCCCATGCCAGCGGTAGCTTCCCGCTCCGCCTCAGCCACATCACCACCGCCAGTCCTCCAAGCAGCCCGAGGTATCCGCCCAGCAGGAGCTCGCCGGCAGACACGCGCAGGCCGAGCGGCATAATGGCGCCCGCGTCTGTCGCTGTGACTCGCACCCGCACCCGGCAGACCACGCACGAGACTGTAGGCGAGAAGGTGCGAGAGAAGGCGATTGCTCCAACACACCTCGCACCCTCACGCACCATCCAGCCTAGTTCGCCCTACCAGGTTCACCAACCACCAGCCGGTCGCTGCCCGCCACCACTGGCTGCTGGCCGGCCACCGACCGCCACTCGTCGCAACGCACCTTTCACCGCACTTTCCACCTCCCACCTCCCCACTCCCGCCTCCCCCGCCCACCATGCCGCGCGAAATGATCACGCTGCAGGTCGGCCAGTGCGGAAACCAAATTGGCATGGCGTTCTGGGAGCGTCTCTGCGCCGAGCATGGAATCTCGCCCGACGGCATGCTTGCGTACGCCTTCCCCCCTCCCCCCCCCTCCTTGCCGCCCACTCCCTACCGTGTCGTGTGATGCTATCGTCTTTGGCGCCATTTTTTGGCGCCCTCGACTCCTCCAACCCCGCCCACTCACTCACTCACTCCCCCCCCCCTCTCCCCCTCCCCCCAGCCCGCACGCTGTCGAGGGAACTGACCGCAAGGATGTGTTCTTTTACCAGGCCGACGACGACCACTACATTCCTCGCGCCCTGCTGCTCGACCTCGAGCCTCGGGTCATCCAGCCCATCCAGACCGGCGCGTACGGAAACCTGTTCAATCCGGAGAACATCTTCATTGACGCCGAGGGCGGTGGAGCAGGAAACAACTGGGGCACCGGCTACACCAAGGCCGAGGCCGTGCAGGAGAAGATCCTGGACATGCTTGACCGCGAGGCCGACGGCTCCGACTCACTCGAGGGCTTTCTCCTCACCCACTCGATCTCGGGCGGAACCGGGTCGGGCATGGGCTCCAACCTGCTTGAAAAGCTCAACGACCGGTACCCGAAGAAGCTCATCCAGACATACTCGGTCTTCCCGAACCAGGCCGAGTCGTCGGACGTTGTTGTCCAGCCGTACAACTCGATGCTCGCGCTCAAGCGCCTAGTCCTCAACGCCGACTGTGTGGTGGTGCTGGACAACGCCGCTCTCGACCGCATCGCCACCGAGCGCCTCCACATCGAGTCGCCCACCCACAAGCAGATCAACGAAATTGTCTCTACCGTCATGGCTGCCTCCACCACCACGCTCAGGTACCCCGGGTACATGAACAACGACCTTGTCGGTCTGGTGTCCTCGCTCATCCCCACCCCGCGCTGCCACTTTATGATGACCGGATACACGCCGCTCTCTGTCTCGTCTGTCTCCACTTCGGTCCGCAAGACCACCGTTCTCGACGTCATGCGCCGCCTTCTCCAGACCCAGAACATCATGCTCTCCGCCGACCTCAAGGTCGGCTGCTACCTCTCCATCCTCAACATCATCCAGGGTGAGGTCGACCCGACCCAGGTCCACAAGGCCCTCCAGCGCATCCGCCAACGCAAGCTCTGCAACTTCATCCCCTGGGGCCCGGCCTCCATCCAGGTCGCCCTCTCGCGCCGCTCGCCCTACGTCGAGTCGGCTCACCGCGTCACCGGCCTCATGCTCGCCAACCACACCTCCATCAACTCCAAGTTTGTCGAAATCGCTGCCTCTTTCGACCCAATGCGCAAGCGCCGCATGTACATGCAGCACTTTACCAAGCTTCCCATGTTTGCCGACTCGCTCGACGAGTTTGATGACTCACGCGAGGTCGTCCAGAATCTCATGGATGAGTACAAGGCCATCGAGCGTCCCGACTACGTCGACTGGCAAGGCTCTTCGGCTGCCGCCGCTTCCTCGGCCGCCTCGTCCTAGTAACACTCCCCCCACCCTCGCGCCTGCCGTCAGCCAAATTCCGGCACATGCGCCGTGCCCGACATGTGTTACTCGCCGCGGCGACACTCGTCGGTCACACCACGCCACACCACCCGCAACTCGCCGCGTTCCCCGAACTCTTTCCCCCCCACTTCACCCACGTTCCCCCGCCCACCATGGGCCGCACCCTTGCCCGCGCCCTCTCCCGCGCCTCCACCCTCGCCACACAGTATTCGGTCCTCTCCCGCAAGCACGCCCTCATCTACCTCCGTCGCTACAAGGCCAGCCTCGGCATCCTCCTCTGCCCGCTCGCCATCGTTCTGCTCCTCCTCGCCTTCCAGGGCGTCTCCAACTACGTGCTCGGCCAGTCCGAGCCGTATCCGGACGTCATCCCGCTCACCGCCCTCCCGCACTGCACCTCCCACAACGGGGCACCGTGCAAGACCGTCGTCTACTGCCCCAACAACGTGCCATGGGTCGATCGCCTCATGGCCTCGGTCGCATCCCGGGCTGGTCTCGACTTCAACGCCACCTTTGATGGCTCGGTCTGCCCTCGCCGCCCGCCGTCGCAGGATCTGCCCTCCGCCATCGCCGCCTTTGAGGCCGACAACGCCACCCTCACCGAGTACATGCTCGCCCACCCCAATCAGACTCAGAACGTCGTCCTCCTCTACTCGGCCTACGTCCTCGGCCCTGAGTTTGGGCCGGACCTCCCGCCAGAAGTCGGCTACATCCTCTACTACAACGCTACAGATCACATCAACTACGCCGCCACCCTCAAGCTCGCCCTCGACGCTGCAGAGCTCGAGCTCCGGACCGGCCGCTCCGTCGACTTTGACGTCTCCTGGCAGTCGTTCCCGCGGCCCAAGCTCCGTCTCGCAGGCTATGACGTCGTCGCCGCAAATGGCGGCGTCTGGTTCTACGTTCCGCCCATGGTCATTTTCTTCCTCATCCTCACCGCCGTCGTCGGCGAGAAGGAGGATCGCCTCCGTGTCGGCATGCGCATGATGGGCCTCTCAAACTCGGTCTACTGGGCCACATGGCTCCAGACCGCCCTCGTCTTTGTGGCGCTCTCCACTGCCATCCTCATGGCCACCGGCGCCGCCTGCCAGTTTGACTTTTTCCTCCGCGCCTCGCCGCCGGCCGTCTTCCTCCTCTTCTTTCTCTTTGGCCTTGCCTCGGTCGCCCTCGCCTTCTTTGCCTCGACCCTCGTCCAGCGCGTCAAAACAGCCCAGACCGTCGGCTACGGCATCATCCTCGTCGGCTTTGTCTTCCAGTCCATCCTCTGCTCCGGCTCGGGTGTCCTCATCGACCTCCTCTACTCGGGCTCCGTCAAGCCCTGGGTCCTCGCCGTCCGCTACATTCTCCAGATGTACCCGCCGTTCAACCTCGCAAAGGCGTACTACGACATCGCCTCCCGCTCCTCCACCTCGCTCAACTTTGCCGAAGGCCTCATGGTCCGCGGCCCGGGTTCTCCTGGGCTGACCTCTACAAGACTCGCCATGAGAAGCTCTTCACCTTTGACATCAACATCCCGGCCCCCATCGACTCGTACCACTGGCTCCTTGTCAACGCCGCCGTCTTTGGCGTCCTCGCCCTCTACCTCGATAACGTCATCCCGGGCGAGCACGGCTCACCCAAGCCGCCCTACTACTTTCTTCTGCCCTCCTACTGGGGCTTGTCACTCTCGTGCTCGCGCGCCCGCTCGTCCGGCTCGCTCGCTACCGCCGTTGTCGACCCAGACCTTGCAATCGTCGAAGACTCGGACGTCGCCGCTGAGCGCGCTGCCATCGCCACTGCCGTCAACGCGCCGGCCTCTTTTGACGCCCTCACTGCCTACGACGGCCTCGCCGTTGTCGGCCTCTCCAAGACCTACGCTCCAGCGCTTGCTGCCCTCAACCCCTGGTCGTCATCGCGTGTCCATGCCCTCGTCTCATTTTGCCTCCGCGTCCGCCGCGGTGAGCTCTTCTGCATCCTCGGGCCCAACGGCTCCGGCAAGACCACCCTCATCAACGTTCTTACCGGCCTCTTCACACCTTCGTCTGGAAACGCCTTTGTCTTTGGCGCTTCCGTCATCGACGACGTTGACTCGGTCCGCCGCGCCATCGGCGTCTGTCCGCAGCACGACATTCTCTACGGCGAGCTCACTCCTACCGAGCACTTGTACCTTTTGGCAAGCTCAAAGGCCTCTCCGGCCAGTACCTCGCCGACCAGGTCGAAGAAAAGCTGGCCATGGTCGAGCTCTCCTCGGTCGCGCACCATCGCGTCTCCACCTTTTCCGGCGGCATGAAGCGCCGAACTTCAATTGCCATCGCCTGCATGGGTGACCCAGACCTTGTCGTCCTCGACGAGCCGACCACTGGGCTCGACGTCGTGACTCGAACCTCGGTCTGGACCATGATCCAGGGCCTCAAGGCAGACCGCGCCGTCATCCTCACCACGCACGACATGGAAGAGGCCCAGGTCCTCGCCGATCGTGTCGGCGTCATGGTCTACGGCCGCCTTCGCGGCCTCGGCTCCACCCTCCACCTCAAGGCCAAGTATGGCGGCGGCTATCGCATCGCCCTCTCCACCAGTCCTGCTGACGCGCCCGCCGTCACCGCCGCCATTCAGGACATGGCGCCAGGCGCCCGCCTCACCGCCGCAAACGCAGGCTCGCTCTCCTTCAAGCTCCCTCCCGACATTGTCGACGATGTCATGGCGACCGTCCTCGCCCGCGTTGAGGCCTACGCTGCCGCCCAGGACTCGCCCGTTACAGAGTGGGGCGTCTCATACGCGGACCTTGAAGACGTCTTTATCGCCATCGCTACCCTCCACGGCTTTGAGTACGAAAAACTCGGCCGCGAGGACGATACCTCTAATGAGCTCGAGCTCGAGCTCGCCCCGCCGCTGGAAGCTTCCTCGCAAGAGACTTCCTCCCCAGAGCCAGCATCACGCCCAGACTCGCGCCCGTCGTCCCTCCCGTCGTCGCGCCCCTTCCGCGCCCTTATCCGCAAGAACCTTTCGCTCCAGAAGCGCGAGACCTTTACCAACTGCTGCCAGATCATCACCCCCATGTTTGTCATGGGCATCCTTGTCCTGCTGCAGTACATTATCCGCGCCGAGCTCGGCTCGGACCTCAACGCCGAAAAGGTTGTGCCCTCGCTCCCGTGGCCGATCAATGGCAAGTACGACCTCGCCAGCTTTCCGCTCTTCAACACCTCGTCTATTCCGTCGTGGCTCGTCAACTCGACCCATCGACCTGCCAACGTCTCGCAGTCGACCTGCCTCGAGTACTTTTACGTGACTGCGCCACCACAACTAGCTCCCACCATCGGCTCGCTTCCAGCCTCGGGTGCCAATGCCACAGGCTTCCTTGGCCTCATTCCGCAGTCTAACTGTACGCTCGTCGACACCGTGCCCGCCCGCGTAGCAGTCCCGTACTTTGAAGCCAAGCCCTCGCTCCGCGCAATGGACTACGCCGTCTACGCGGGCCTCACCCACTACAATCATCTCTCGCTCGACACCGTCAAGCTCCCACCGGTCTCATACCAGGTACCTGACGGCTTTGTCGCCTTTTCCAAGCTCGACGGCGCCGAGCCGCACCCGTCGGCGCCGATCTCACTCTCGTACATCGGCTCGGTCAACAACAATCCCATCACCCGCTACCACCGCGCCAACAACTTTACCCGGCTCGACGTCGGCTTCATCGACAAGGAGCTGCTGCACAAGTTCTCGGGCGCCGAGCTCATTCCTCTGCAGGGCTGGCTCACCCTCATCGACTACCTCTCATCAGCACTCACCGCTGCTGTCGGTGCCTCCACTTCTCTGCCTGGTGAGCTGGCCCTCCTCGGCACCCCCTTCCTCCAGGCCATGCCGTACTACGCCAAGGCCGACCTCCTCGTCGTACTTGAGATCTTCGGCACCATGCTCTACCCGGTCGCCATCACCCTCCAGCTACCAGTCTACCTCTACTTGCTGGTCCTTGAAAAGTCGCTCAAGCTCCGCGAAATGATGAAGACTATGGGCCTGCGGACGCTCCCCTACATTGCTACCAACTACGGCTTCTTCTTTGGTCTCTACTGTCTTGTCATCGCTTTCTTCTGGGCCACCGGCGGCCTCGTCCAGATCCGCTTCTTTGTCCAGACCGGCCCATCGACACTCGCTGCCTTTTTCATCGGCTGGGGCATGGCTCTTGTCGGCCTCGCCTTTTTCTTTGCCTCGTTTGTCTCTTCGCGTCAAGTCGCCATTGTTGTCGGCTACATTGTCGCCCTCATTGGCTCACTCATCGGCCTGGTCATCACTGCTGGCATCTATGGCGTCTTTGCCTTTTCTGTCTCCACCTCGATGCCGTGGTGGTACCTCATCTGGCCGCAGTTTGCCCTCTGCCGCGGCGTCTACCTCATGAACTTGCAGTGCGCCACCCGCTTCGCCTGCTATGGCGGCCTCTCCTCACTCACGATGCAAGACGAACTCTCCCACGTCATCATCGCCCTCTACGCTTCTGCAGTCTTCTTCTTTGCTGCTGGTAACTACCTCGACGCCGTTCTCCCACAAGAGTTTGGCATTCGCAAGCCATGGTGGTTCCCCTGCGCTCGCTGTGTCACTGCGTATCGCGGCGCGAGCGAGCACTCGCAAGCCATCGACCCACTTGCCACTGGGCTGTCCATCAATGACGGCCACAGCGACGAGCACGAGCCGCTGCTTGCTCATGCGTCGTCACAGCAGTACTCCCTCTCCCTCGACGCCCAGGCCGAGCGCGACCGTATCGTCGCCGGCCGCCATGCACCTGACTCGCCCGTCGTCATCCGCGACCTCGCCATGACCTACCCCGCCTCTGGCGGCCAACCACCAAGGTCGCGCTCAAGGGTCTCTCGCTGGTTGTCGAGGCCGGTGAATGCCTTGCCCTTCTCGGCGAAAACGGCGCCGGAAAGACCACCACCATCTCCATCCTCACCGGCGTCTTCCCGCCAACCGGCGGCTCGGCCACTGTCGCTGGCTACGATGTCCGGACCCACATCGACCTCGTCCATCTGGAGACCGGCCTCTGCCCGCAGTTCAACATTCTCTGGGAGACGCTCACAGTCTCGGAGCACTTGCTCTTCTACGCCCGCCTCAAGGGCGTTCCGCCGCGCGACGAGGCCACCCACACTGCCCGCGCCCTGCTTGCCTTTGGCCTCGCACCCTACGCCTCGCGCAAGGCCCACCAGCTGAGTGGTGGCATGCAGCGCAGACTCTCGGTCGCCATCTCGCTCATCGGCGACTCAACCGTTGTTCTCCTCGACGAGCCGTCGACCGGCCTCGACCCGGTCTCTCGCCGCGCACTCTGGGACATCATCGACCGCGCCAAGGCCGGCAAGGCCATGGTCCTCACCACACACTCGCTGCATGAGGCCTCACTCCTTGCCTCGCGCATTGCCATCATGGCCTCAGGCTCGCTTCATGCACTTGGCACTCAGCTCGAGCTCAACGCTCGCCTCGACGACGGCTACCGTCTCTACGTCGCCTTTGATGACAACGTCGCCGACTCGGTGGCTGACGGCCTCGTCCGCCTCTTTGGCTCTATCCGCCTCGGTGAGACCTTTATCGGCTCTCAAACCTGGTTCCTCCCCGCTCGCTCGCCCTTTCGGATGTCTTTGCCAAGCTCGTGCAGGCTGCGCCGGTGCTCGGTATCACCGACTGGGGCATCTCGCAGGTTGGCCTCCACGACGTCTTCCACGACGTTGTTGTTTCAGCCCGCCGTGCTGCACGCGAAGAAGACGAGCGTGTCAACCACATCGTGTAAAGAGGCTAGCGCAGCTACAGACGACCAAGTTCGATTTCAGCATCGGCTCCCCCTCGCGCGCCTTCTTCGACCGCCACCGCAGCCTCGAGCGACGCGAGAAACTGGCCAGCATCGCGCAGTAGCTCTGGTCCAGCTTCCACATCCCTGAGCTCATCGGTGATGATGGCCATCAGCCGCCGCTGGCGATCGCTGGCCGTCGACCGAGCCCCTTGCCGCCGGTCGCGGAGAATGAGCCTGATGTCGGCGACGACACCTGCCACCGCCACGCAAACCAGCACAAGCACGGCAAGCACCGTTACCACCAGAAAAGCAGTGTCAAGTGACGCGCTGCTGCGCTCCGCATACGAGCCTGCACCGATGAGCACCACACACATCAGCACAAGTGTCAGCTTGGCCTCGAGCGCGTTGTACATGGGAATGTAGTACGGCTCCTGTGTGACAACCACAAGAAGCGCGCCCGTCAGCACCGCCATGAGCATCGCAATCAGCAGCAGCTGCGACGACGAAAAGAAGAGCGCAATGACGACAAGCGCGAGCCGCTTGCCCAGGTCCATCACGCCGTATCCGTACATCTTCCGCCGGTACAGCCGATACAGCCCGCCGAGTCGCTGGCTCACAGCCGGCGAAAAAAGCTCATGCCGATGCCGGCCGAGCTTCCAGCCAAAGTACAGCGGTACGCCGACAACATAGCCGCCAGTTCCGAGCATGCCAATCCACACCACTTGCCACCACTTGCTGTCAAAGCATGCCACGCCCGGGTCTGCATCGAGCACGTAGTCGCCCGACGGCAGCCGCGTGCAGTCGAACACCACCAGCGTCGCTCGTGCCATCGGGATGTACAGCAGCGGTGCATAGTTGAAGATCAGCGCGTCGGCGAGCGCCCCAATCGAGAGTGCTTCCAGCCCCTGGAGCACGCCCAGCGGCGGAAGGATCCGCGCCGTAGCCGCAAGACTGGCAAAGGCAAGAAGGAGAAAGACGGGCACGAGCAAGACTGAGACTGCGTACTTGGTGTGGAACGAGGCCAGCGCGCACTCGGATGCAAACACATTGGCGTCGACATTGAAGACGTTAAAGCTCGAGAGCACCGCCCGTGACGATGAGCTCCATCGCAGATCCACGTCGACCACAATGCCGATGATCTGGAACGAGATGAGGACCATCGAACATGATGCCGGCCAGCTCAGTCGCCGGAACTTGCGAATGAGCTCAGCCTGGCTCTTGATCTCGCCACTGGCAAGACCCGAAGCCTTGCCGGCGCCTACCACAACCCATCCCACCACCACCGCCGAACCGAGCGCAACAAGGGCAAGTCCGATCAGCGCTAGCGCGAGCACCACACTCGAGTTGCTGGGACAGCTCTTGCAGAGACCTGCCGAGTCCGAGTAGAATCCTGCCGAGCACGTGTTGCACATGTAGCCCTCATAGCCTGGCGCGCATGGTGCCGCCAGCGCTCCGCCGGGACACGCACTTGGCCGCTTGCACTGCACAAACGTTCCGTCGCCCACCGGAAAGAAGCCCGGCAGCGGCAGTGGAAAGGTGGTACCGAGCGGACACTCGGCACCGTCCGGGCAGACAGTGCACGGATCGCTGTCAGTTCGTCCTGGCGGAGGGAAGAACCCGGCTTTGCACACGCACGCCACCGTCGAGTTGGACTGGACCGCGAGCGTCGTCTCCGGACACGGCGACCGCCGCACACACGGCTCGACCGATGTCTCGTTCGACGTGTCGGTTCCAGAGCATGGGACGCAGACAAGCCACGGCGAGATTGCTGGCTGGACTCCACCATTCCCCGGCGGGCAAAGCGTGAGCTTGATTGGCACTCGCGAGGCTGTTCCCAACTCCGGATTCACCGAGCCGACAATGCTCAACTCGATCTCAGTAGCCAGATCGACGTACGGCGGGCCGTACACGCCAAACGAGACCGATGCAAAGACAAAGAGGCCATCGTTCGAGAGCGGAATGATGCTTGGTCCAATGTACTCAACTGTGCCAGCGGCTAGGCGTGGAAAGCCGACGAGCGAAAACGTCGTCGTCGTATTGACCTGCTTGATACGCTGCCCGTACCCGTCGACCATAGCCGCCGCCGTAGCGAGGAGCGGAAGCGCAGAGCCAACAGAGTCGGGCGGTGGCAGCGGCCACGTGATCCGCACTGGCGGCGTTGCCCACACTGGGCCAAAGCCAGTACCCGGGACCGACGACACCACGTTGGGCGAGTCAGGTGAGAACAAGGACTGCGACGCTGCGCAAGTGAACCCACCGCCACCAGCCCCGTCAGCGTGTGTCTCGCTCAACGTCACTTGCACGCCGGGCTGGATGTCACACATACACTCGTAGATGCCGCCGCCAATAACCGCGTGTCCGCGCTCGATGCTCAGCCCGCCGCCACTGGTCGTCACCCTGTGCGCCGGCGATCCGTCGCCGAGTGCGATTCTCACCACGCTTGCAACTTCTGGGAGCACGGCTCCGTCGGCGAGGCAAAGCAGACCACCGCCATATTGCGCTGACGTGTCTCTCACAGTCACGTCCACTAGCAGCAGCGTCGAGTCGCGGCCGGTCAGTGCTAGGCCGCCACCGCCACCCCCGGCAGTGCAGCGCTCCATCGTCACCCGTGTCAGCGTCACAGACGGCACTGACGCATCTGCGATCGCAACCGCCACAGCCCCGCCGTTCCCAACTGAGACATGCGATTCCACAAAGCTCACGTCGGTGGCGATAACCGCACCACCGACAGCAAGTGTGTACTCCGCCGATAGACTGCCACCGCGGATGCCAGCCTGTGAGTCGATAACAGAGACCTGGTTGAGCTCGACCGATGCATCGTCAAGGGCAACAAAGCCTCCGGACACAGCAGCCCGAGAACTGGTGCTTGCAGTGGCCACAATGCGGGCACTGGCTCGGTTAGCAGCATACACAGCGCCGCCCCGCACCATGGCCGTGTGGTCTGACAAGATGCAATTCTCGACCACAAGCTCGGTCCCGGTGCCAGTTGCAGCGACAAGGCCGCCAAACGTCGCATGGTTACCGGTTGCTGTCACCCGCGACAACGCTAGTGCGCCGCCCGAGTCGACACGAAACGCGCCACCCACAAGCCCGGTTTCACCACATCCAGTCACCTGCCCCCCATCAAACACCAGCTGCGCGTTAGTTCCACTCACCCACACCGCAGACTCTCCATCATGGGAGCCGACCACGTTCGCCAGAGACAGCCCATGAAGGGTGAGATGAACGCCCGACGGCACCTTGAAAAGGACGCTGCTGGCATCACCAGCGCAGTCGACAACCGATCCGGTGGCGTTGACCACAACGTCCACGCCCGAGCGCGCCTGGACAACAAGATAGACAGACAAGCAAGAGGCCCCATAGTCTGAAGGCGGAAGCACGACAGGCACACCGCATCGTCGCCCACGTTCGACTCTCGCCGCGAAGCAACGTAGCGATCGCTTGCCAGCCGCACTAACGCCACACTCTGCAAGATGGTCGAGGTCATTGGGGCGGTAAGAGGTCGGCAGCGAGCGGACCCACACAGATGACGGCGCAAAGTGGTGAAAATGAGTTGCAATGTCGTTGGATACAACAACGTCGGGGAATCCGTCACCGTTGATATCACCAACCGCGGCCACTGCTTTGTCTCGAGGCAAAGCCTCAAAGTACCACTGCTCTTGCGAGATGATTCGGGTGTTGACCATGATCAGCGTCCCATACGAACCACTCGCCACCAGGTCAGGTACGCTATCAAGGTTGAGGTCGGTCGCGTACAGCTTGCTGAACTGCCAAGGGCAGGGCGGACTAGGACACGGCGGATCAGCCGGCAGCACGATAAGCTCGAGGTCGCGGAAAACGCCGACCGCTGTCTGGCTGGCCCAGAACACTGCTCGTCCACCCGCGTTTCCGGCACACACAATGTCAGGCGCGCCATCGAGCTCCAGGTCTACAATCACGACAGCGACCGCCTCAAGGGGCGGAGGCGGCGGAGACGTTGACACTGTGGCAAACTCGGTCAGGTGCGTGTAGTTGTTGGTGAACACCTTGATGTGCTCCGGATAGGTGACAACAACGTCCGGGATGCCATCAGCGTTGACGTCGCCGACACCCAATGCGTCGATGTTGCTCGTCTTGCTCAACAAGTCGATTGGGGTGACTGTGCTAAAAGAGCCAGCCCCGTCGGTGTTGGGGTACAGCGCGACGCCGCTGGTGGAGCCGCGATAGCCCAGCAAGATGTCGCGAAAGCCATCACCGTCCATGTCGACAAACGTGATCTCGACCGGTGCAGCATTTCCCACTGGAGTGGCCAGCACCCTCCATCCCACATACTGCGTGGAGTCCGACTTTGACACCAAATACATGACAGGGTCAGTTCCCAAGTACTTACCGACCACGGCATCGGGAACGCCGTCTCCGTTCACATCAGCAAGATCCAGGAGCTTCGGGGTGTAGCCAATGACGTTGGACTGCAAAGGGGACATATCGGCAGTACATGTCCCTGATCCAAAGCATGCGCGGTAGCTCAATACTTCTGTGATAGGAACAGTGCCAGCAATGTCGTTCCAGCCATCGCCATCAATGTCCACAACTTCCAGGGCCGACCGTGGGTGAGGTTTGACCACGGCTGCATCAAAGAGTGGGGTCGAGAGCGCACGCTCGCTCGAGCTAGAGAACCAGACAAAGGAGTGACTGTTCGAGCACGCGGCTGCGACATCGGTCATGCCATCGCCGTCATAGTCTCCGGCTGCCAGGCTCTTGGCGTTGTCAAATGACGCAAAAAGGGAGCGCTTGGCAAGCGTCATTGTGGCAAAGCCCAGCGTTTCGTTGCTGGCAAGGAGAAGGAGCGACGAGCCCTCGAGTGCGAGCACATCGCTGGGACCAGCTCCGCCAAACTTGCCGACTAAAAACGGATCGGCAAAAGTGCCTCCAACTAGAGAGACATCGGGCGCAAACGTGGCTACTCCTAGTCCGCGCAGCCAGTGGATGGCGACCGACGAGCCGACGACCAGGTCCAGCACTGCATCGCCGTCAACATCAGTCACGACGACATGAGCCGGGGAGATGAACGAGCCAAACGACTGGGTTGTCCATACTGTGCCGGCTGCGTTGGAGTTGCGATGCCAGACTACGGGAGAGCTCGCCCCGGGGTTGACGGTGACCATGTCGGTGCTTCCGTCGGCGTCAAGATCAACAAGCGCGACATCGTTGGTGTTGGCCGCCGCCACCACTGGTGTCACCGCTTCCAGTGTTCCGTTTCCAACATTTCGCAACCATCTGAGTGCACCTGCGGTGGCGAGCGCGACGTCGATGGCGCCGTCGCCGTCGACGTCACCCACAGCGAGCGCGTTGATGGTCGCAGCTGTGACGTAGACATCGGCGGCGGCAAAGATGGCACCAGGTCCAGTAGAGAGGAAGACTCGAAACTGGTTGGCAGTCAGCGCAACAACAATATCGAGGGCCGAGTCGTGGTTGAGGTCGGCCAGCGCGAGTCCGTCCGTGATCGGCGTTGTAACGCCCGAGATGTTCGCAAAGGCGTGGACGCCGAGGCCAGCGCCAGCCTGGCCGCGGAACAAGCCAAGCATGACCGAGCCTGCGGTGACCAGGTCGTCAACTCCGTCGCCATCAATGTCGCCGGCGGCCACCGCCCGCGCGTCGGTCGAGTGCGAGCCACTGGGTAGGACAAGCGGGACGACGGCTGCGTTGCGTGACGCCGGGTCCGGGCACGTTCCCACGACACTGCGGAGAACCAAGACGACGGCAAGGGCAGCCACCAGCAACTTCGAAACCTTTTTCATTCTGTGGTGCAGTCGTGTGTGTGTGTGTGTGTGTGTGCAGCGGGGGACAGGAGGAAGGTAGCGAGTGATGTGGTGGGCACCGTGGCAGGGGTGGGAGGTGGCGGTGGGTACCATGCAAGGCATGCATGCGTCCCGGAGTGTCGGCCCTCCATTTTTTCGCTCCTCTTGTGCCACCCCCCCCCCCCCAGGCCACCCGCCGGCCCGCCCACCCGCCGTGCCACATGGCTTGCCAGCCACTCACGTCGAGTGAGCCACCACGAGTCGCCGCCACCGCTGGTCACCACCCCACCCCACCCCCACCCCCACCTTGGCGTATGGCACGCTCGGGGGCTGACTCGGCCTCGTCGTGGTCGTCATGGGGCTGGTCGTCGTCGTCGGGCAAGTCGCCGCTCAAGAACCGCCGCCGCAGCCCTACCCCGCAGGCTTCTGCCCTCCGCCGCATGGCTGACACTGGCTCGTCGCTCACCTGGGAGTCGTCGGTCTTTGATCTTTCCGACTCGGGGGAGGCCGACTCGGAGGCGGCCGGTGTTCGGGCGGCCGGTGCGAGCGCAGCAGCGAGCCATCGTGCCGTCGTGCCTGAGTCGACGTCGGCCTCGGCCTCGTTCTCGGTCTCGGATCTGGACAAAGGTGCAGAGCCGCGGATGGGCGTTGAGCGGCGGCAGCCGCAGCGGCGGCAGCGGCGGCGGCGGCGGCGGCGCAAACGCAAGCACAAGCTGCCGCTGCGGCTGCGGCCCGATGCGCGGCTTGATGCGCTCGGCTTTGTCCGTGGCTCGCCGTCGGCGTCGCGCTGGCCGGACTCTGCGCCTGCGGCTCGGACCAAGCGGGCCGGCAAGTGGCTGGCGATGGTGGACAAGGCCCACGCAGGAGGCAAGGCGCTTCGGGAGATGAGCAAAGCCAAGAAGCGGGCGCGCAAGGGCGTGCCGGCCGAGGTGCGGTCGGTCGTGTGGCCGGCGCTTGCCGGCGCCGACGCGTATGTCGCCCGCTACGACGAGCTGCTATTGCAGACGCCGGCCGAGCCGGAGCGAGTTCAGATTGTCAAGGATCTGCATCGAACTTTTCCGCACCACGCCGGCTTTCGTGGCGTCGGCGGCCCACTTCAGTCTGCACTGGGGCGGGTTCTCTCAGCAGCTGCCCTGATGCGGAACGACGTTGGGTACTGCCAGGGCATGGCCTCACTTGCTGGTCTCCTGTTGCTGTACATGAGCGAGGCCCACGCGTTTGCTACGCTTGTCTCGATGTGCGACTCTGGGCCAGACGCGGTCTACGGTCTCGGCGACGTCTACCGCCCGGGCCTCCCGCTGCTTCTGTCGTGGTGCGAAGCGCTTGACGCGCTGTTGGCCGAGACCGACCCCCCCTTGCCAACCATCTTGTAGACGTCGGCGCTGCTGCCAACCTCTACGCCACCCCCTGGTTCATGACCCTCTTCACCGGCGCCCTCCCCGGCGCACACTGCGTCCGCATCCTCGACGCCTTTCTCGCCGAGGGCAAGAAGATCCTCTTCCGCATCGCGCTTGCCCTCACTGCCTACGTCCGCTCTGCCGTTCTCGCCTGCTCCGACATGGGCGAGGCTATGATGGCCTTCCGCGCCCTCGACGGCCACTACGATTTGTCGCCCGACGAGCTTATGGCCGTTGCCCTCGACATCGATCTCACCAACGCCCATCTTGACGCCGTCATTCCTCCTTGGTCCACTACCTGATTCCACATCTACGATCTGGCCGCCGACCCCTGCCCCATCCCTGTCAATGATGGGCGCCGTCGCCACGGACAGCACCAGCTTACCTCGGCACATGCCTCGTCTCGACGGCAGGTCCGATTGAGATCGGGCATCAAGCGGCCGCTGGGATGGACGTCGTCTAGCGGGCGACTATTCTGCTAGGTCGTCAGGCAGGCGACCACCGGCAACTGGGCTGGGCATTGAGCACTCGCCCGCCAGCCGCACCCGCTCTCCCCACTCCTCTTGCAGACCAACCATGGGCTGGTCCGACTTTGTGAAGGAGCAGTTCATCGGCAAGGGCTCGTATGGCAAGGTCTACCGCGTCAAGCGCCGCTCCGACGGCAAGACATACGCCCTCAAGGAGGTCAACATCAAGTGTACGCCCCCCTTTCCCCCTTCCCCTCCTCGGGCCTTACCTTAACAACGCCTGGCGCCAACTGGCGCGATCCCGCCGCCACCACCCTCCCCCTCCCCACCCACCTACCCACCCACCCACCCAGCCCCCCCTCCCCACCCCCACCCCCACCTCCACCCCTCATCCCTCCCCATGCCCACCCACCACCACCTCCCTCTCATCCCCGCCTCTCCACATCCCCGCCACTCCTCGCTTCCACTTACGCCCGCTCTGTCGCCCGCGCCCGGCACTCCCGTTTCGCGCGCCGACTGCTAATTTTCAAAATCCGCTGTCGCCGACGCAGTCATGAGCCATCGCGAGCGCGAGGATGCCGTCAACGAGATTCGGCTGCTAGCATCGGTCAACCACCACAACATCATTGCGTACTTTGAGTCGTTTCTGGAGAACGACAAGCTCTGCATCGTCACCGAGTACTGCGGCAATGGCGACCTGTTTGAGCTCCTCCGCAGGTACCGCACCCGCCGCCGCCGCCTCTCCGAGGACCGCATCTGGTCGTACTTTCTGCAGATCTGCTACGCGCTCCGCGTCCTGCACCAGAATAAGGTCCTGCACCGCGACATCAAGTCCCCCAACGTGTTTCTCGGCGAGAATGGGACCATCAAGCTTGGCGACCTTGGGGTGGCCAAGCTCCTCAAGTCGGCCATGGCCCACACCCAGATCGGAACGCCGTACTATCTCTCGCCCGAGATCTGGAAGTCCCGGCCATATAACGACAAGTCGGACGTGTGGTCGCTCGGCTGCCTGCTCTACGAGATGACCACGCTCCGCCACCCGTTCGATGCCACCTCACAGCGTGCCCTAGCCGCCAAGATCATCAAGGGCCGCTACGCACCCATCTCGCGCGAGTACTCATCCGACCTCGCCGACACCATCTCGGCCTGCCTTCAGGTCAACCCCAACATGCGTCCCACCATCGACGAGCTGCTCGAGCTCCCTGCCGTCCGTGCCCGCATGGATCTTGTGGCCGACGAGGTCATCTCGGACGCCACCCGCTGCGCCGTCATGAACACCATCAAGGTTCCGCGCCGCGTGCAGAACCTCTCTGACCTCACCGAGGCCCTGCCCAAGCCCATGTACATGCAGTCGTCGCCAGCCAAAATGGTTCGCGACGCTGCGCCGTCGCACCCGCCGCCCGAGCCCAGCGCCGCCTCGTCCGCAGGCGCTGCCGCCGCCCAGCCCAACATTGTCGTCAACCCGGTCATCCGCTCACGCCTGCACGCCCACGCGGACCAGCCGCCGCTGCCGGCCCTCGCTGCAGCTCGTGCCCAGCGCCGCGCTGCCTCCGAGCCTGCTGACAACAAGCTCGCCGACCGCGCCCCGGCCCAGAAGTACTACGTCAACAAGTCCAACCATCCCGGCGCAAAGTATGCCCGCCGCGCCAAGGAGCCGTCGCCGCCGCTCGGTGAGAACCCGAGCGTCAACAAGGCCCGCGTCCAACAGTACTACGCTGCCAAAGAAAATCGCGCAAATCGCCGCCCAGGCCCTTTTAGCTACGCCTCGGAACGCCATGCGCCCGCCGCTGCCTACCCGGTCCTTGCCCGCCACGCCGCGAATGACGTTGCCCAGCGCCGCTACTTTGCGGCCCACAACAAGGCCAACAACAACATCGGCAACGTCCCGCGCGTCCAGTACCGCCATCCCAACCAGCCGCGCGCCGCCCACGCCGCCCCGGCCGTCGTCAACGACTACCGTCGCCGCTACTACCGCTGAGTTGGTGCCCCGCCCCGCCCGCTACCCAAGTCGTAACACACCTCCTGTATCCTTCAATCATGGCTTGCTTCTCTTGAGCGACGGCCCGGCGACCCACGAATCGTCGGCGTCGGCGTCGGCGTCGTCCCACTCGCCATCCTCGCGGGACCGCTTGCGGCTGCGGTCAAGCGTGATCTTGCGACCTGCCGGCAGAGACTCCAGGTTCTCTGCATCCACCACACTCCCCGACCGAAGCAGCCGCGAGATGTATGCATGACCGTCCTGGGTGTCCTTCTTGACCAGCGACTGGAGTGGTGGCTTGAGCAGTGCGTCGGTGAAGATGACAACCACCTTGCGCTTGGCCCGCGACGTTGCCACGTTGAGCCGCCGCACCGAGTACACAAACTCGGCCCGCCGAGCCATGTACTCGGCCGTAAAAGCGCAGCAGACAATGACCAAAGCGGCTTCGCGGCCCTGCGTCACCTCAGCCGTGTCCACTACCTCGCCGAGCCACTTGAAGTCGTCCGTGCTCACCGCCGCCTTCAGCTCGGCGAGCACCTTGGCGCGCTGCGCGCGGAACGGCGTCACAATCATGATCTCGCCCTTGAGGCTCGCCGTCGCCGCTGCCGCAATCGACGAGACCACTTGGACCACAGCCTTGGCCTCAGCCGCAGCCGCAGCCTCTGGCGTCGCAGCAATCTCCTGTGAAAGCTTGACTCCGACGACGCTCGAGTCGAGCCCGGAAGCAAGCAGGTTGTCGTCCCACAGCTGCCCATCGTTGTCAGACAAACCGTTCGCGTTCTGGTAGTTGGTGTAGTGTTCAGCGTGGAAATGGCCGAGAACCTTGTTGGTGCGGTAGTTGGTTTTCAGCGAGAGCAAGTAGTCGCACTTTGAGTCTCCGACCTTGGGCTCCGAGACCAGAAACGGCTCGTTGTTATCGTTGCGGACCACACACTCGAGCAGTGAAGTCGCCAGTGGCACCGCCGCCGGCTCAATCGGCTTGCAAGACAGGACAGGCGGCAGCTGCTTGTGGTCGCCAACCACCAAGAGTCGCCCCTCCGGCTTGAGCTGTGCTAGGCCCAGAATGCCCATCGTCACCGGCAGCTGCGACGCCTCCTCCACGATCAGCAGGTCGACCTTGTGCATGGAGCGTTCGAACAACGTGGCCGCCTTGTACGGAGTGGCAAACATGATAACCACCTTGTGGTTTCCGATCGGAAGCTGGCTCCTGAGCTTGGCTGCCTTGACCTTTGTCGCGAGGCCTCCCTTTCTCTTCAGCGCCTGCTGAACCTTCTTCAACCCATCGTCGAGCGGGTTGTTTGTCGCCGCCATGTACAAAATCCGCAGCTTCTTGCCAGACTTGCACGCCAGATCTGCAGCCATCATCATCAGCTGCACAATGACCTGTGTCTTGCCGGTGCCCGGTGGTCCGTGGCACACCGTCAGCTTTCCACTCTCAGTCGACAACACACGCTTGATGACGTTCTTCTGTGACTCGTCGAGGCCGCTGCTGTCAACAAGCTCACTGATCTCTGTGTCCAGACCGAGCACGGGCAGCGCTTCGCCTGCCATCCACTCCTTCGGGTCTTGCACAAGCTCCACAAACACGTGGTTCTCCTCAACGCCCTTGGCAGTCTGGGCAAGGATCTTGGCAGACGCAAAGTCGATGACCCGCGGCTCAATGACCACTGGCACTCCGCACTTGAGGTTCTCCAGGTGCGGATGGCGTGGAAATTTCATCAAGATGTTGCCCTCTTCAGGGTTCGTTGACCCGATCCCTGCGCTTGCCAACGACAGGTCGACTAGGGAGGTCATCTTAGCCTTGTTGACATGGAGGGCATCCTTGAACAGCGAGTTCTCGCCAGCTAGCATGCGCGGGTACACAAGCCGGGACCGCAACTTGTCCTTGCGTACATGCTCGTGGCCATGCGTGACCTCAATCTCCAGGGTGCTGGTGGCGTTGCAGACTGGGCGAATGCCCACTACGTTGCCCATGATGACACGCGGCAGCGTTGGCGCAGGCAACTCGGCCTGCGGCACTGTCGAGTTAGGCAGTGTGTTGCCGGACTGGTGTTGGGCCGGCGCCGCGCCTTGCGAGAGAGTCTCCGGGTACGTGCTCTCGCCAAGCGCGGTTGGCGGCTCTGGCGAGGGCACCCCGCTTAGCTTACCACCCAGCGTCTGTAGCCGCTTCGTCCGCGCACTCCACAGCCCGGTGGCGAGCTCCATCCGCACATGAAAGGCCGCCTGATCAAGCACGCCCGGTGCACCAGGGGTGATGGAGGACCAAGGCACAAGTCGCGGCGGGCTGTGCACAAACGGGCTTCCCTCGGACAGCTCCCGCAAGCCAGCCAAAACCAAGAGGAGAGCTCGGGTCCTAGCCAGTAGCACTTTCTTGGCCCCTCCGAACTGGCCAGAAGAGCACATCTGGTACAACGCGCACTCGGAGGCAAAATCAGGATCGAGGGCAAGATTGCCCGCTGCCACCAGGTATGTGACCATGTCACTCAACAGGTAAATGCCGGGAACAGGCAGGGCAACAAGCTCGCGAACTGCAGCCTCCAGCACCACCACCACCGGAGCCATCGAAGCCTCCATCGCCTCACTCGCAGCCTCGATCTGCTTCCCCTCAAGACCGACCAGTGGGTTAAAGTCGGTGGTAAACTCGGCGGCATCGATGTTGCGCACAAGGTTGGTGACGAGGAACTTGGCGGCGACCGCCAGCTCCGACCCTGGCTTTGCCTTTGCCAGCGTCGTCTTCACCACATGGAACAGGAGATCGCGCTCGTGCTGCGTTGGCACCACAACCTGCGCATGGACCTTGTCCCTCAGCACGCCCGCCAGGGCCACCACCAGCTCCTTGTGAGCCTCTGATAGACTGGCGGTTGCGCGCGAGTCCAAAGGGACAAAGTCGCCGCTGTAAGGTACGGTCGCAAACGGGATCCCATGCCCGTCAAAGACGCACCATCCGTACGCGCCATCCTTCTGGGGCTCGCGCAAGATAGTGACTGCCACTGTAAAGCACGACTCTGACCCAGCCGGGAGAAGGGTCGACCGCACATGCTGTCCGAGCACGACCGCCTTCTTGTGCTCGTACGCATCGCTAAAGGCGTCCGGCACAAGTTTTTTCTCCAGGGCAAAGGTGAACGAGCCCTCGTCTCCGCCGTGCACCCTGCGGATCTTGTCCGCATCGTGTCCAGAAATGTACGGTACCTTGATGATCGAGTCGTTTGCGATGGCCAGCTCGCGGCAGGTCAACTTCCCATCCTCCCTGCCATCCACATCGGCACAGCAGAGTGATGAGGCTACGTACCAGGGGGTACGGCCGCTAATGGCATCGCCCCGGCAGCAATCTCGTCCTCGACCATCGGCCACATCGCCTTCAGGCTGAAGGTGTCGACTCCGTTAGGCCGCCACACTAGACCAGTGTCGGAGAACGAGACCAGCTCGCTGAGACTGACCATGCAACCGTTGGACTCGACCTTGATCAACTTCACCATCGCCTCCAGCAGCTTGGCGTAGACTGAGACCTGAACAATGTGGGAGGCTTTGGAGACCGACGACGCCTTGGCGTCGCAGACCGTGATCTCGACCTTGGAGCCGCGCTTGCAGAGCACGACAAAGTCCGGCTCCCACTTTGAAGCAAAGTAGCGGCCAGCCTTAATGGCATGCTCGGGCATGTGCTCGAACTTGAGGTTTGCCAGGTAGAGGTCACCGCCGCCCGGGAAAGAATGACTCTTTTCCTTGTCGGTATCCGTGTAGATGCTCACGTGGATGACGCCCGCAGCAAGAATCGTGAGGGCTCCGTCGTCCATGCACTCGTTGTCGACCTCCATCTCCACATCGACGCCGTCAAACACATCGGTTCCCGCTGCAGCAAGCTCTGCTCCTCGAGCAGTTGCTGGCAATGGTTCTCGAACTTGACGCCGTGCTGGCGCACCGCCGCCACAAGAGGGTCTGGCTCGGAAACCTCGTCTCCGGCCCTGCCACCGTGCGCAGACTCCTTAAGCTTTGCCGCGCATCCGTGGTCACTAAAGATAGCCATGGCCGAGATGGGCACAACAAGGTCATCAACCGAGGAGCTCATGATGAGGAGTTTCCGTTGGCGGTTGCGAAAAAGGGCACACACCGAGGTTGCAAAAAAATTCCCAAGCAGATACTGTGCAAACGACTCGCTGTAAGCAAGTCCGCGAGGGGTAGGGGGGAGCGTGAAAGTGTTCCGCTTTGTCGAGTAGCTCTACCTGTTGAGGTAAGAAGGCTTGAAAGTCTTGGTTAACCCTTGGTCGTGGCTACCGAGGCTCGGGAAGAAAATAAACCAAAAAGTGCAAACGCTGCAACTGCCTAAACGACTCGCTGTGTGCAAGTTCGTGAGGGGTAAGGGAAGCGTGAACGTGTTCTGCGTTGTCCAGTAGCTCTACCGGTTGAGGTAAGAAGGCTTGTACGTCTTGGTCTGCTTGAGTGTTTCGATTGGGCGAAGGAAAGTCCTGTGCCAAGTCGAGTAGAAGAGAGAGGAATGGTTCGACCTACCAACGAGTCGCTGTCGGATTTCGGCGCCCGGTTTTGTGCCGGGACGGCGACAGGGTACACAAACGCACGAGTGTGACGTCGTTTGGAGCGGCCAGCCCAGGTCGACAGTTAACCCTTCACGGTGCGGTCGTTCGGACGGGATGTCGCGTCTCAAAGAGAGCAACTCGATGATGCTTGACTTCCAGGTCACCAGCCGACGCTGCGCGACGCCTGCTTGGCCAGCGGCTTGAGGTGGGAGGCGTGCCCGCACGTGACGGCGGTGACGGACGCCTGGGAGCATGGGCGATGCGCGCGAGGTGCCGTACGGCGCCGATCCGGAAGGTGCTGCGGGCGCGGACGGTGCGGAACTTATCGTTGACGACCTTGACGACCGGGAAGGAGAGCATGACAGAGTTGAACACAGTAGCCGGACGGAAGAGCGCAAGGACGTCTTGCGACGGACGAGCTTGCCGGTCGGCGTGGCCGCAAGAGGTGGCACGCCATCTTGAACTGGAATCTGGACGCCGCGTACGTGCTCTACGCTGACACGAGCCCACGCCCCGCTATGACTCGCGTGGCTTCTCTCTAAGACATCATCGACACCCTTGCCGCCAGCGCCGACGCCGTCAGCTTCGCGCCCTCGCCGCCAGCGGAAGCGTCCCTCTGCAGCGGCTGCTCGTCATCACCACTTCCCAGCGAGCCGCCGTGCGACGCGACTGCCTCGCCTGCCGGAAGCTTCATGGTAAGCGATCGTGGCCTTGGACCTTTTGCGCCGCGTGCGACGTCCATCTCTGCATCGCCGACTGTTTCCTGTTGTGGTCCACCAGTGGCCACAGTAGCAATTAGCACATTGTACCACTCTTACACCGCGATTGATGAACGTTGCGACGTCTGTGGAGCGTCGTGGAGCGCAGCTTACGCGATGGACAAATTTGTCCATTCCGTACTGTGAAAAGGTTAAAGAAACGGGTTGTGCGATGCTGCTCCGGACGGCTCGGACACCAATGACGGCGGGGGCTTGGGCTTGGGTGGCGGCTTGGAGACCTTTGGCCGCGGCTTGGTCGGCTTGGGCTTGGTCGGGCGGGCGACCTTGTCCGGGCGGTTGGATGGTGCCGGCGACTTGGCCTCTTGTTGCGATGGGTCGTTGGCCACAAGTGCTGGCTTCGGGCGGGACGGAGGTGGGTTGTCAGCAGTAGGCGTGGGCTGCGGGCGTGACGGTGGCTTGGGCGGCGATGGGCTGTCGGGATTGAGCGTGGGCTGCGGGCGTGACGGCGGCTTGGGCAAAGGCGACTTGGCACCTGCAGGTGCCGGCAGCGGACGTGACGGTGGCTTGGGCGGTAGCGGCTCGTCGGCTGCAGGTACTGGATTGGGAAGTGGGCGGGTAGGCGGGCGCGGCGCGGGCGCTGGCTTGATGGGCACCGGATTCGAGCTAGCAACAGGGCTTGGAAGTGGACGGGCGGACGGCTTGGGTGGCGGTATCTTTCCGGCTGCAGAACGCGTAGAGGGCACGGGGCTCGGAAGCGGGCGAGCTGCTGGTGACGGTCGCGCCACCGGCTTTGGCCGCACATCCTCTACCTCGCGGCTGTCGCCATCAGCGGTGACAGAAGTGCTGGCAGGCGGGATGGGGGAGCGGCGGGGAGGCGGCGCCGGGGCGGCGGTGATGTCTCGCTCAAGATCTCCGGCAGGCGGCTGGTCTGCGCGCGATCGCGACGGCGGCTGCGGGCGTGGGTGACGAAGCTCATCCACAGGCTCGGCCGCAGCGCCAGCTGCGGGCGAGGTCGGGGCGGATGCAATCAATGGTGACGGTGGCTCGGCAGCCTTGCCCTCGGCCTGGTATCCGCCACACTCGGCTAGCCGGGCCATCCACTCGTCGGCAGCTTGGTCTAGCGGGGTTCGCAAAACCAGAGTGCGTTCGGCCGATTCTACGACAAAGCGATACTCCCACTCGTTCTTGGCCTCGACGCGGGCGAGCGTGAACGGGACCAGCAGGTTCATCCATCCACGCTCGGCCATGCCGTCCAGAAGCTTGGCGTCAAATATGGTCGAGATCTCAGCCTGCTTCTCCTTCAGCTCGTAGTACCGGAGCACGTTGTCTGCCGAGAGGGTGAACCAGCGGAGGGCAAAGTTGTGCCGCTTGCGGCCCTTCTTCTCCAGCAAGCCGTGGTGCAAGACGCCGGGCTCCATCGGGACCGCTGACGTGTCGGCCAGTGCCAGAAACGGCGGCACATCTCCGCCGAGCTTGGCCTTTTTCATGTCCTTGATCCGCGACTTGAAGCCCTTCATGCGCTCCTTCATCGTCCGCTTCTTGGCCTTGGGAGCAGCATCGGCATCGGCATCGGCAGGTGCGACAGGTGCGGCGGGCGTGGTGGGCGCAGAAGTATGCTGTGCGGGAGCAGGCGCGATGGCATCAGAGCCAGCTGCGCCAGTGTTTGGCGCATCAGGCGCGCTTTCCCCCAACAGCAGCGACGGTGGCTTGCTGTCCACCGCAGCAGCGGTTGCATCGGGATCCAGGCCACCAGCACCACCGGCGTCCACCACAGCCACCACCTCGACCTTGCGCTTTCTCTCCCTCCGTGACGGCGCCTTCCGCCCCTTGCGCACCGGCCGAGCAGCCGTAGCCTGCCCTCCCCCCCCCCCAGCCCCCCCCCCAGCCCCCCCCCCCAGCCCCACACCCAGCGCATCGCACCCAGTGCATCGCACCCAGTGCATCGCACCCAGTGCATCGCACCCAGTGTATCGCACCCAGTGTATCGCACCCAGTGTATCGCACCCAGTGTATCGCACCCAGCACATCGCACGTGAATTACAACCGAAGAAGCCCCCCCTTCTTCCCCCCTTCCCCTTCCCCTCCCTCCCCCTCCCCCTCCCCAAATGCCCGTACATGCGTCAGCGGCATCACTCACCCAGTCTATATCCCCTTCCCGTGCCACCGCCAGAGACAAGTACTCTTCCAACCCCTCTCCCTCTCCCCCCCCTTCTACC